CCTCTTCTATTATTGTTTCCCCTCATTTACAGCTCACACTATGTTGAAAGGCAAACTACTTAAGCCCACAGTGTGCCCGACATTTGACACCCATAATTCATAGCACCCTGTCCCTGATCCATACATGCCCAGCAGTTAAGTTTTTATCATTCATAGAAAGGTCTTTCAGCTTTGGAGCATCGCTTTTCAATGGCCAGCTGCAGCTGAAGTGGCCTTCGACCCACTCCTCTGTGTGTTTCTGAGAGGCCTAAGGTCCGGATGGTAACCTAACCACTTCCTGTATGCCACCTAAGGAGAATAATCACCCCACAGTTGGATTTCAAAAGCTCTGCGTGGAGAAATGGCAACAGTCCTGCAAACACTGTTATCGAGGAAGCAAATGTCTGGAGCTGAAACTGACAAAATGTTGTAAAAGGTTATCAGACAAGTCACATTAGATTGCCAGCTAAAATGCTCAGTGATCCCTCAGCAGTACGCATTTGGATGTCAACATGACTGCTGTGGCTTTATAAAGCAAGTACACTACAGTGAGTGATAAAGGCAAGCAATAAAAAAAGCTTTTAAAGGAAAAGTATTAACAGTTTTCATTTATTTTACATTCCATTTACTATGTAACTATCATTATTATTATTTATTAAAGTTTTACGCTGCATTGTTAGCCTTTTAATGATCATTTTGTCCGTTTTGAGGTTCCACATAGCTGTCTTAGCTAATTGGACTGAAGTCTGGGAGTAAACCTTTCCATACAGTACACTCTTCGATCACACCATAACCACGCACACTTTTATTCATCCCCCACCATCAAATGTGGGTAATGTGATATCGGGCCTCTGGAACAGACCCCTAACAGCAGATGGCCAGCTATTCAAAAATGTGTGGATGCTGGGACCCCAAGCTTAACTGAAGAAAAGAGGAAGCTGAGGTTCAAGGCCAAGCTATACAACCACAAGAATCTTTCACAAAGGCTGTATATGAAGTGTTTTCCTAAAACGGTCGACCATCTTCAAATATATCTGAGAAGAAACCTTATTCTCTGCTACATGGACTGATTCTCAGTAAGACCAGAATACTTGGATATTTGGAAGGAAAGTGATATTTGCTGAGACTAATTTTGGTTCATTGCTAAGGTGTTTCTCCCACTGAACTCTGTCATCCTTGTTCAGACTTTTCAAAAAAATCATGAACACACAATAAGGAGTGTTCTGACTTCTGATTCAGTAGGTGCGGCACGAGGGGGATCTTTTGAAAGCCGTGCCTCACCTACTCCGAATCACTGAATCCACAGCACCTGACTGTCTCTAAACACACACTCCCTCTATGACAGGCACATTTTGACAACTCTCTGCAAAGTCTAAGGAGAGGCTACGATGATTATAGTGTTTTGCCTTGAAATACATAGTAGAGCAAACAAAGGACAAAGCCTAACTTCATTATTTTGCAAGCTGCCTCATATTTCATTACAAGCAGGATAAACAAACACTGCACATAGCCATCACCCACCAAAGACAGAAATTCAATCTTGTCAAGTTCTGTAAACTTGCTCAAAGGAGGTTGCCTGTTCTCTGAATTCCTCAATAAATTAGCACCTGTGTATGTTTAGCAGAATGCTAGCAGGTGAACATTTGGCTCATACATTCTTACATATATCAGCTGACAAAAGAGTGTGTGTGTGTGAGGCCCGAAGGCCGGTGCTATATGGACCAAAGCTACTGGATTCTATATGTGTGTTGGGTAAACTGGCATGTAAAACATTACACGGTAAATTATATTTATTACATTCAAACATATTAAAATGATTCTATCTGCACTAGGATGTAAAAACAAAGCATTGGGATATTTTTGGAACCGCCTACAAGCAGAACTTAGCCTCTGGGTCAGACTAATAAAATACTCCATTGACATGAGCTGCAAAGTGAAATATGACAAGTGTCGAAGTGATATAACCAGTATAGGATCAAAACTGATGTTTGTTTGTTTTGTTTTTTTAGAAAGGTTAAGTGTTTTCGCCCTTGAACCACAAAGTTTGCTTGTTTGTTTTTTGTATTTTAATAAACGACTGCCTTGGACTTACCTGATAGCTCAGTGAGGTGGGTGAATCATCCGTCCATAGTGCTGAATGAAACACAGCCTCTGGTCCACGCCAACAAGCGTAAAGTACCTGATGAGCTCCAGTTCTACTTCACGACACTGCTAGTTTTTCCACAAAGACCGGCGCAATTTGGAAAAAGAAACCGCTCTGGAAGTAGAAATAAACTCCGAGTCCATAAAGTGTGTGTGAGTGAGTGAGAGAGAATGTGTGAAGCTGAAGTAGTCTCTGTCACTGGACCAAAACAAGCGCTCAGGACAAACAGATCTCTACATATGAGAGGGTCAGTGCAAAGGAGCGAACAGCTGAGCCGAGACGCACGGAGTCAAAGGAAACCTAGTGCTCTTTCCTTCAAAATAAAGCCCTGAAACAACCCGTAACCATGCATCTAGAAAAAATATATACCGAACCTGGATATAGTGACGCAGAAATGTGTGCAAACAACCACCGTCTTAAAGTTAACTGACAAATAAAATTTAGTGGCAATATTTTGAAAGCATCCCCACTTCACTATTAGTGCCTAAAACATTTGCACAAAGTTCTGCTTTAGCAACAAATACTGAACTTGTATTTGACTGCTTTAGTTACTTATTCAGATTATTAATAGAAATTATAATCAACATATAAAATATTATGTATTAAGCATGAAAATATTTACCTGTTGTAACATTAAAGTAATGTTTACACAATAAAGTATCAGTGATAATAATTGTAATCCAGTAATGAAATTGATATCACTGAAATAGATCATTCTGCATAGAAGTTTGAATTTCTGTGCCCTGTATTTTGAAGCAAATCCTTTTAGTACTTAACACTTACTACTGCCTTTTGCACTATAAAATTTTGCAATGCAAGACACATAGCCTGCAGAATATTTGCATTGACAAAATGTTCTACCCTGTGGAACTGTTACTCAAGTAAACAATCTGAGTACTTCTTCCACCACTATATATATGCATTTTTATCTGTCTCTATACCACTTTCAACAATGTTTGTGTTATTATTTGTCATCAAATAGTCAAAGGACTTCAATGACTCAAACAAGTCTTCTGACAATAGTGTTTTATTTTGAAAACGCTACTCACATGTTGCTTGACACTGCTTGGCTTGACACTGTAACTTGTGATCAGTTCATACATTCAGCTCCAGTGGCACTCTGGATTTATTATGGAAACAAGATCATTCGGTAATCCGTAAAACATAAAGTACTGAAAGGTCATACAATTAAATCAACACAGAGTGAAACTTGTATTTGTATATCCTTGACAGTTCTATGATATTTTGAAACGAAATCATCAAATGATTTATAAATCGCATGTCGACATTGTATGTTTTACCCACCCAGAGTGGGTGATGGTCTGTTTGACCATACATGCGCAAATAAATAGTTTCAAGTCTGATTATCGTGAATTTTAGCCTTTTTTTACCACACCAAAAGTATTCATCACATTCATAGCCTACTCTATAATAACTACTGTGTCACTGATGTTTCGTTTTATTGAGAACATCTTTGTTTGTGTCACAAACTCTAGCACTGAAAAGCACAAGTCTGTGTTTATCTACTGTAGGCCTGCCAGAATGACATGTGACTGCCCTCTGCTGGTCTGTGCTTTGTCTCCAAAATGTGATATTGCAGTACCTGTGGTGTCGGACTAGGTGTGCTGAAATGTTCTGCATGAGGGTCAGATTTTAATTTTACAAAAACCCTAAGAGGGAAGTCACAAAAACAGTCTGGGTATTTACTTAGAACTATACAGTCAAAATGACCTAGACAGTTTAATGCAATCCAGTACAACTGTCTGCTTTTCTGATACCCACAATGTTCAGTGCTTAACACTTATAGAGGTGTTAATTCAGTTTTATGTTTGGGGTCATCATTTAGTCATGGTGTTCTGTTGCTGCCCCCGTGTGTGGAAGACAAAAAATAAAAATTACTTCTCAGTACAATGCAGTGTAGTACAACTGTGACCTCATTGATAAACAGTTGAATTTAGACATATGTAACACTGTAAACCAAAACAAACAATATTATAAAATTTGTAAAGGCTGAACTGATGGCAGTGCTGTTATACTGAATTGCATTTGGTTGCAGAGGTATACTGTACCTAATAAAGTGGCCATTGTGTGACTATATCTATTGACAGTTTTGCAAGGACTCCTCGTACACTGAAAAAAATAGTCTCATAAATCTATCTATCTAAAGTATTCTAAACATATAAAGTAGCCTGTGTACGTCTGTCACAGTGTCAAAATAAAAGACAAGACAGGGAGTGTCAGACAACTTCTTGAGTTATTTGACCTTTCTGAGACTAGATCCTCTTTGTTGTCAGTCAGTATCAGGTGATAAAGAAGACAAAACGTTTGCCCACTTGCTTAAGGTTCATCAATCCATTATCTATATTGCTTATCCCTGAATAGGGTCGCGGGAGCTGGAGCCAATCCCGTCTGACATTGGGTGAGAGGCCGGGTCCACCCTGGACAGGTCGCCAGTCTATCACAGGGCTGACATGTAGACAAACAAGTACACTCACTCCTAAGGGAAATTTATAGTCACCAATCAAACTAAGCTGCATGTCTTTGGACTGTGGGAGGAAGCTGGAGAAAACCCACACAGGCACAGGGAGAACATGCAAACTCTGCACAGGAAGAACATGCAAACTCTGCACAGAAAGGCCGGGGCTCGAACCCTAAACCTTTTTGCATAAGTTACCTTCCGTGATTGCTAATATTCGCCTAGAGTAAATATAGGTGATCTATATCTCTCTTTAAGTAATAGCTCAGGTCAGATCCTGTATGTGTCAGCACGTCTATGACAGCACATATTGACAGCTGTAGGTTGTGAGTGCCATGTGACGAGGGGGCAGGCTGTGGAGAAGAGGGGGCGTTGCCTTGCTCCGCTCATACCTTTGCAGCCAGGCCTCACCTGTCAGGTTGAAACTCCATGAAAACATTTATGACTAGATACTAAAGCGAAATAGCGTCATGAACTCTCCGTTCACGTTCTCCCCCGTCAGACCGGGGTTTCACAGGCTGGAGATCCAGAAGACGACGTGGGACGTCCCGGAGAGGTACACGGCGCTGCAGGCGGTGGGCTCCGGAGCTTACGGGACAGTCTGGTGAGTGCACTCGGGAGCACCTCCTGGCACTTTAAGACAAGGGCGCGCAGAATTTATCAGTCCTTCCGTGTGTTTTTTGACAAAATGTAAGACATTTTCTTTAGGCTATTCTATCATCCATTTTAATCTGCGGATTAAAGTCGGTAATTTAGAGTTGACGTGAAAGACATTTAAAATAATTGTTCTGCCTTACAATGACAATCAGACCAATCCTTGGTTTAAACGATCCATATGACCCATAGGCTACTTAAAATTACAATACATGAACGATTCGGGTAGCAGGGGGAACAGTGGTGAAGATGCCGTGTTTTTTCATACTTAGGCAAATGGTCAAAGGTGATTGCCTTGTCCTCCATTGTCAATATTCAGATGCTTTGCACCACAAACGATTTTCTATAGACTGTGCAGACGTGTGCAGGCCTCAGGTCTGCATTCCACTGCAGAGGCCGCCGGCATCTGCCAACAGGAGCACCGTTGTCCTCAGGCAAACCAGCAAGTCGCTGCAGGTCCTCTGATACAAGAATCTCCTCCACCACCACAGAAGAATCTGTGGCTGTACATTTATTCAAGTACTGTACTTAAGTACAATGTTAAGGTGCTTTACTTGAATATTTACATTTCCTGCTACTTCATACTTCAACTCCACAAGATGCAAATATTGTAACTTCCACTACATTTATTTCAAAATCAGTGTAATAATGAAATAAAAGACAATCTAATCATTAAGCTTTATTGATCCCCAGTGGGAAATTCACAAACTACCTAGCAGTATGTAAAGTACTTCACATTATAACCATATAAAATAAATATTTGCTCCCATTTACCAGCTGCAACATTAAATGTGATGAACACAATCATGCATCAGTAATTATAATCTAATAATATGATATACAGGAATGTGAAATGTGCCATTCTGCATAATTAGTACTTTTAGTTTTGGTACTATTTTGATGTTAACAACTGTGTACTTAAGTGATACTTTGAATGCAAGCCTTTTACTTGTAACAGAGCGTTTTTACATGGTACTGCTACTTTTACTAAGGTAAACAATCTGAGTACTTCTTCCACCAGTGAGAACAAGCCATCCCATCCCACAAGCAAGATCTTATACTGATATTGTCATATTTGCTCAGAGAGGAAGTCAACCCCGAACGGTTTACTAATCTCAAAGTATAATATGAGATCGTACATTTAGATTCATTTCTAGCATGCATTTTTTAATTTTTTTCTGCAAGAAACAGATTTATTACAGGCTCAGTTCAGCTCCGCCGAGTTATATTTTTTCATCAGAACCTCCAAATATCCCCAAACAAATGATTCTTTATGTGTTAAGTGTATAGTCTTTATGGGAAACAAATAGAAAGGAAACAAATTTATACACAGTTACAGTAGAAATGAATGATTAGTCAAGCAGAAGAATTGTCTTGCCATTTTTCCTTTTTTATATGATTTTAAATTGAATGTCTTTGGGCATTCTGTAATGGATATTTTACAAAATTTTCTGGCATTTGAGGATTGATAAGGAGAATATTCAGAATTTGCAGACCTAGATTAGCGTACAGGTCATTTTGTGGGCAAACTGATCAGCCCACTGTTTTCTCTGTCTTATTCCAACTTAGTTCTGCCATTGACCAGAAGACTAAGGAGAAGGTGGCCATCAAGAAGCTGTATCGACCCTTTCAGTCCCTTCTCCATGCCAAACGGGCATACAGGGAGCTCAGGCTGCTCCGCTACATACAGCATGAAAATGTAAGAAGATCACAAAAAATTGGGCATAGTGCAGACACAGTAAGGCAGGGCGAGCGTAAGCAGAAGATTCATCAGTGTGTTATAAATGATAGTAGTCTTATATGAAGTCACCATATATCAGAGTGGCACAGTAAGCTAAGACAAATGCAGGGTTTGCACACATCTTGGTTCCATTTTTCTCCTTTGTCTTTAAAAAACTACATTTTCAGGGTAAGCAAACTCTGTTGACCATTCAACAAAAGCCCATAATCTCCCTGACAAGCTGGGAGTGTTGTGTGCTGTTGGAACCCTCATGGTTCAGTATTTTCACTGCACGCCTTTGAGGAACTACCAGCACTTACTGTACTCAACATTTGTTTGCTGAGCTAATCTTTGTAGAGCACCACATTCAGTCAGATTTAACTTCAAAACCCAGTCATTTTTGTCTTATGGAGACATGTCCACCAAAGAATTGAGATCCACTTTGTATCTTGTGTCTATTTTATTTAGAATAAATAGAGGAATTAGCTTTTTAGCGTGAGCACAAACTTCTTAAGCAGAAAGGACAATGATGTCAGTGATGGATTCATGCTTGGATTTTAAAGAGGTTTCTGGGAAATGTAGTGCAGAAACATCACAACAGTAAGTATTAAAAACACAGTTAAAGAAGCCACACAAACGTTATTCCTGAAGTTTCTCCGGGTTTGTGCGCTCCTACTAACTCCACACTGCATGTGACAAATGTAGAATGCACAGCGTTTTGCAGATTTGTGTATTAAGAGGCAAATGTCAGTGAAACTTTGCTGTGTTTTTCCTTTAAGGTGATCTGCCTCCTCGATGTCTTCACACCCGACCCCACGCTGGAAAAGTTTCAAACCTTGTGAGTTTTCAATGCATCAGGAACCACATTCTTCGGCTACTTGCTGCAGCTTGTTGAGACCCAGTGTGCATGTGTGTGCACGACTGAAACAAAGATGTGTGAGAGCAAGCTTATTCATGTTTGTTTTGGTCGGTCTGTGCTGTTATGTTTCCTCATCGACAGCATCTAGGGCCACTTTATGTTCCTTACTGTGCCTGTTCATTTATTTTTGTTTATCTATGCATGTTTTCTTCTCTCTGTAGTTATATGGTAATGCCTTTTGTAGCCCAGGATCTGGGCCACATTATGAAGAAGCGGAGATTAACTGATCGCATCATCACATACCTGTTCTACCAGCTTCTAAGAGGACTCAAGGTTTTTGTATTTATTTACTTGTTATATTCCCCATAGTGGCACTGACATGATTATTTATTTCTGTTCTGTAAATACTAAGATATATTATTCATTTTCTGTAGGCAGCTGTATTCAGTAAATAGCTCTGAACCCACCGTGCACTACCTACCAGCACCAAACAGTAGACAGACAAAGTTAGCGACCAGCTCATCCCTCTTTACCTTGAAGACACTCAGTCAATCTGCATTAATTAAATGAGGTACAGCTCAACAATAAGGCCCTCACAATGGCAAGCTGCTTTAAAAGTATATGACTTAAACATGAATTAAATCAACCTTATTTAAGCCATATAAATAAAAATGTATAGAATTATTAAAAACACTAAGTCTGCAACTAATCTGGTGATAAACTGCACAAGAAAGCAGCTGAGCAGAGCAGTTTGTTTTTCATCCCCATTCTGCTCCACATCCCCCCACATGGCCTGACTACCAGCATATTAAATAACATGCTTTCAGTTTAGGAACTGTAAATACCATTCACAGACAAGTCAATGTGTAACCAGTAGTTAATGGAAATGAAATAGAAGCATGTTTTTAAGTGGAAAAGAAGACTAACTTGTCATAAATGGCCCTTTTGTCTTTGAATTGAGTGGGCATGTGTCCTCTAAGCACTCTAGATAGAAAGATAGATAAACAGATAGATAGATGCTTTATTGATCCTGAGGGAAATTCTAGTGTACCGTGAGCAGTCTGGCTTTCCTTTGCTGAGTGAAAATACACTACACACTCACAATCAACTGCTGGTTGAAACTCTGTGTTGTTTTCTGTTGCACAAATCCACAACATGCACGCAGAGAGCAATAAGCCAGAAGCCTGTGGGTCTGCCTGCTCTGTTAAATGGAGACAGTGAAATTATCTGAAGTTCAGGAGCGGGACCTGACCCAAACTACATCCTTTCTATTTCCATAACATCTAAACCCACTGACCCACCATACTCCTGTTTTCGATTTCTGTTACTTCCTCCCCCCCGACCTTTTATTTTAGCTTTTTCCCTCTAGTCTTCTGTCCCTGCTGCGGGGTCTGCCAGTGCCCAAGAGCAGCGCATACCTCCATAACCTTTCCCCAAAACTAACAAGTACACAATCATTTCATTACGTATATTCATCTATGGTGAGGGCAGGTCTCTTCTCATGAAACAAGCGTTGTTGTGTATGTGAAGTATGTCTGTTAATGTGGTTTTATAATGTGAATATAAATCTCTTTTCCTTCTTTACAGTATATTCATTCTGCAGGGATCATTCATCGGGTTGGTATTTGAACATTAGATAATACACCACTGGAGCCTTTGTGTGTAATCAATGCATGGTTACTTCAGTGTCACCAAAGGTATAGTTTGACATTTTGGGAAATACATGTAGTTTTGTTGTAATTAAATATGACACTGGAGCTTACAGCCTTTAGGCTTAGCTTAGCATAAAGACTGGAAATAGGGAAACTGCATTCTTAGTTTTAATAATGACTAGTGAAAGGGATTGTTTACAGTTAGTCCCAGTCGTGCTCCTTTACTTTCACATTTTGGAGATCAGCTTGTTTGCTGCCAGCAGATTGATGGTAGTTAAATGTAAATGAAAGGTGTCGTTCAGTGGACAAACTGGTCCGAACATGTTAGCTTTGAGAAGAAATGTGCATCCCAGTAGTTGTTTTATCTCACTTGTTAACACACTGATACAGTTAGGAGCAACCCAGGGAGTTTTGTTAAGAGCTGAAGGGTGTGTGAACCCTGTGACTATGTTGTGAGGACTAGCTAGCAATGGGTGGTCACTTAAAAACTTCAATCTGTGACTGTCTGCTCATTTACCACAATGTCAATTAGTGAGTGTTCGAGGTGCTAGTAAGCATATTCTGTTATTTTTGAACAAACCAGGCTAGTGTTTCCAAGCTTTATGCTAAGGTAAACTAATTTAAACTCAGCAAGGATGCAAATGAGGGGAATTATCCAAATGTATAACTATTGCTTAAACTATTTCCTTGTTTAAAACCATTCATAATAGTCTTTGTGCTACAACCTTATGCGGTTTGATTTTAGGATCTGAAGCCTGGTAACCTTGCAGTGAGTGAGAACTGTGAATTAAAGGTAATCTGATGATCAGTTTCAGTTTTACATATGAAAACATATTCTAGTGAAGATTTTAGACATACTGTATAACTCTTTTTTTTCCTGTGACTTAATGTGCAAAGCAGTCAACACACATAATCTGAAATACAGAAAATACAACCAAAATTGTGGTGAACCTAATTAACCTAACTTAACTGTCTTCAGATCCTGGACTTTGGCCTGGCAAGACACACAGAGAGTGAAATGACTGGGTATGTTGTGACTCGCTGGTACAGATCACCGGAGGTCATATTCAACTGGATGCACTACAGTCAGACAGGTAATAATGTTCCCTTCCTTTAATACAAATAGACATATTTATTTTGTTAGAAAGTTCACCGAGAAGTGCGGCATGCTATTACATTTTTGTTATTAAAACTCTCTGTGCTCCCCACTCTCACAGTGGACGTCTGGTCAGCTGCCTGCATCCTGGCTGAGATGATTACTGGCCAGGTGCTTTTCCCAGGACAGGACAGTATCCTCACACACACAGCTCACTGCATTTTAATAAAACTGCATATGCTCAATTACAGTAACCAAATACTCATGCTGTCGCTGATGCTTTTAATGTTTAAAATACAGGAAAATTTGGCTTGGCTTGGCATTGTGAGGCTTAATGGAGTTCTCCACTGATTTTACATATAGAGGTCATGTTACTCATCATGACACAAACTGCTCAGCCTGTGAAAACAACTGTCCTCGGTGGCTCTGGGGTGGGATTTTTAAAGCCTGAGACAATTACCCAGAATATGTTCTTAGGATCATCTTGTCTTGGGTCTGCAGTTGACCCAAAAGGTTTGTGTTACAAACTGGAAGTGTGAAGTTTAAAGGATGCAGCATTTACCAGAAAGAAAATATCAAATTAAACTATGCTATTGGGTGCATTATGGGAAATGTACAGTAGTAACTGGTGTTTTTGGATTTTGACCTGTACTGGGGATTAAAAATCACAACATCAAGGCTTCTGCAGCTTCATTTCTACTTATTCAGTCTCTTGCAACTTCCTGTTTGTCAAGTCAAGTCAAGATTTTTATTTGCCATTTATGCATAAATAGACAGTCTAGGCATTTAGGAATTCTTGTGCAGCTCTCCTTTGGAGTCAGGTAAAGAGTCAAAAGCCAGATAGAACACTTAGTCTTAAAATAAAAAAAAGTTCTATAAAGGCAACAAAGCATTAAAACTGCAATACACAAAAATAGGGTAATAGTATTTTCCTCAGTGAACTTCAGACATCGCACTTAGTGATTCACATTGTGTAATTGGATATGTCATTACGCTTGGTGAGGTAGTGAGGGGTTATAACATACTAAAACACAGTTTATATTCAGACTTGTTTCCACTGCTTGGTAGAGAATGTCCTGCTAATATTCAGGTCCCACTAGAGAACACTGTTGATGAGATGCTCTTACAACAATACCTTGTGAAACATTTCTGTATTATTATTGCGCATGTCTAGTAATTTGCGCAAGTCCTCCAATTCTGACAAAGTGGTACAAAAAATGACACCACAAACTAATTTGCCAAAATTCAAAAGACACAATTATAATCAGTATCAGAAGAAGGGTACTGTGTAATACAGTACTACAGTCATGAGCAGACTGTCCCATGAGCAGACTGTCCCACCTTTGTCCTGACACCACATCTACATGGTGTGTCCTGTGTGTTATGAGGCTTCCTTAACCAGGCTGTTCCGGTATTGACCAGCTGAAGAAGATCCTCAATCTGACAGGAACACCACCAACATCCCTGGTTCAGAAGATGCAGAGTACAGATGTGAGTTTTGTCTTGTGTATTTGTCTGTTACTTCCGGTTGTACTTTGCAGCTTTGATATTCAACCATTTAGGCCAGCTCATAAACATAGTTTACATTTTCAAATATAAGTAGAAAACTGCACACATTTTTATTGTGCCTATTCTTTATTATTTATGTCATGGTATTTTCTGCATTGTGAACTCTAAGGTTAAAATAATAACATTATAATAATATAGCCATTGTTACCTGCTTTCCAGGCACAATCATATGTGCGAAGCCTTCCTCCACAAAAGAAGAAGAACTTCAATGAAGTGTTTCCATCCATGGATAGAAATGGTGGGCTGACTTCCATCTTAATTTCTTTAAACTGTTCCTAATGACTACACTTAATCTCTTTGCTTCCCTTGGTCTACTCATAAAAACACTGTTTTATAAACAAAAGGTTTTGTATACTAATGGTGCACCCTACAAGTGATCCTGCCAGATAACCTAATGCAGTGACAAAGGGATTGTTGAGAAACTGTGAAAACTGAGAACTGTTTTCAATGCTTCCAGCCGTAGACCTGCTCGAAGGGATGTTGCTGCTGGATCCAGAGAAAAGGTTGACAGCTAAGCAGGGACTGTCCCACCCCTTCCTGGCTGAATACCATGACCCAGAGAGCGAGCCAGACTCTGAGCCTTATGACGATTCCTTTGAGAACCTGGAGCTCGTTGTCGAGGAGTGGAAGAGTAAGTACAGCTACGTGCTGGAGGTGACTATTAGAGTGAGGATGTTTATTTCACGAAATTTTTAATACTTCATTTCTTGTTTTATCCAACCAGGTCTTATCCATATGGAGATCATGACCTTTGACCCTGACAACCCAAGTAAAACAGCAGTGTAGAACGCTATGATATGCTGGTTCCTCTGTAAAGGTCAACAACACTGTAACGCTCTGAGAAACAAAACAGAAAAACTGGATGAAATATATTTAGTCTTTTGATTTTCTGATGTTTTGAGGTTAAAATAAATTTTACAAATTTTACCATGCTTATGGTATGGTGGCCTGTACAGGACAACAAAAATCAGAGTCCAAGACGTTACGCTAGCAATAATGTCTTATTTTGTAATAAACAGACTTGAATTAAATGTGGAAGAGCAGCTTGCCTGCACCTCAGATTTGATAAAAACTTTAATCACTGATTTATAAAATGCTGTTTTCTCATTTCAATAATTGCAGAATGTATTGACAATTTAACGTCCACTTACTACCCCTTTTCTGAGTCTTTCAAGTCTTTCCAATTCATGTTTTTTTGTCAGAAGAACATCTTTATTCATTACATATTCTATTAATTTGGTGATAGACTGTAGGATGATGTTGAACCCTATGAAAAAAGTGCCCCTTAACTCACAAAGATTATTTAGTCAAACTTCTATTTCTAAGGTCAAGGGTAAATGGTCACACTGTACAGAATGTTATTTTATTGACTACTGCAAAGTAGATTATACAATAAATGTGTGCAAATCAGTTCAGAAATGGCTAATTCATTTCTATAACTTTGGCTCAAACTCACAAATTGTGTGCATTTCCAGACTTAATCGTATAAAATATACAAGTACAGGATAACCCTGGCTTTTAATGAAAAATATGCTTCGTTACATTATATCTTACTAACATTTATTTGATACCTGTTATTTTTGATTGTTTTATGCGACAGTGACATGTAAGATATATAGGCTACTGTAACTTCACTTTAGGACTCATTTTGGAAAGATATGAGAATTTATTTTTGATCATTGTTTATACTGCTGGAACACACACAACATGTTTAAAATAAAAACACTGATAAAAGGCGGTCATTGTTAATTTATTTATGTTAGAATGACAAATGATTCAGTGGGCTCGGGTCACTGTGGGCTACTATGTAAAAAAAAACAGACACAGCTGTCACTAGAGGGCACCATGAGACCAGAGTAAAGATTCTTTGCAGCAGGAGAAGATGTGCTGATGAAGTCCTGTATAGGAAAACAGTAAAACCACTCTGCAACTTTACAGTGGAGATTATTCAGAAATGAGCTTGACTTTAGGATATGTGCACCTGAATTCAGTATATTGTTGCTGTAGAGACATATTGTTGATGGCTTTTCTGCTAAGGTTCACTTTCCGTTTTTTCATTTTTTTTTAAGTTTCAGTTTTATTGTCATTTGTGCATACTGGTGGAATGTCAGAGCATGCCAGTGGTGCAGACACAGTTGGGCTGAGCTCAGTGACGTGCGGTCAGGGGAGGCAGGTGAGGCAGAGCCTCCCCTGTCAATCTTGAAAAGAAAAAAAAGTTAACCATAAAATATAATAAATGTTAATATTTGTCGGCTGGTGTGTGTTGTAGGCCCTTTTGCCGTTCGAATCCGATGTTGAAGGATTTTTTTTAATAAAGAATAGCAGAATTTCCATATGTCCCGTTCAAATACATGGAGGAGATGCACGATGAGGCAGCACTTT